AACATTTAAATTGAATTATCCAGTTTCCATGAGCGTAATCTTTTATAATACAAAATCAAGCGTTATGCAAAATGCGAAATCCAAATATTCAAAAATAATTGTGATATATGCATCAAAAGATATTTCTTAAATACTAATCAACAATAATTTTTTTGTGTTAATCAATATATTGACTAATTCAAACGACTACTCGATTATGTACAAGTTAAATTTTAACTTCTTGTTAATCTTTACATTTATCTTTCCAAGAATAATCGTGACAACTAATTAGTACGGTAGCACGCGGATAAAATTATGTCGCGTAAACGATTATTTCTATCAAAGATACATATGCTACATCGACGTCTCTGCAAGCAAGACTACCTTCCGCGTTCTTTTTTCCCATTCTTGAGCTTTAAATTGACATTTATCCGTCGACAGGCATTTTCCTCCGTAAATTAAAATCCTGATACATTCGTAACTATTATCGAATTTCTCGGTGATAAAAGTAGGACGAATTTGACAAACGACAGACTATACTATACTATACTATAAAGCTTAAAAATTTTATAACAAATCACGTGTACAAAATCAAACTTGAATTAGCAATAAATAATGAACATTTATTTAGAAATATTTGAATAGTCATTACAAATGTAGTTCCTAACGAGCGCTAATCAAAAAGTTTACATGTTACAACTTTAATGTCAGCTAATCGATTATAATAAGGTGCTTAATAAGCTCCAAAAGTGCTTATTAAGGCACTTATTATAATTTTAAAATATTTGAATATTCAAGCTTGAATTAGCAATAAATAATGGACTTTTATTTTGAAAAAATACTTGAATAACCATTACAAATGTCGTTCCTAATGAACGCTAATCAAAAAGTTTACATGCTACAACTTTAATGCCAACCAATCGATTGTAATGAGCTCCAAGAGAGCTTATTAAGGCGCTTATTGCGACTTGAAAATATTTCAATATGTGGCAATATAAATAATTGTGGATATACATTATCGTGGTTATTGACAGAAAGCACTTTAAAAGTTTCCCGAAAGCGATGATTATTTATTCCTTCTTAAAAATTCTTTTCAACCAAGTCAATAACTGAAATTATTCTATTGCGTGCCATTGTTGTAACTTCAATAATTTGTTTTAAACGCTTACATATACATGTCTATAATAATTTCTCGATAATTTGTGATAATTAAAATAATCTATTAGCAGTTTCTTTATAACGCAATCCTTATATCATCAAAATCTTTCTAAAAACAGAAAAAAATTGCAAAAAAAGTAAAAAGTTTAACTGTGCGATTTATACAAAAATAATTTAGCATTATCATTATATAAACCCGCAAATATTTCCGACATGCTGCACGTGTATTTTTCGGATTAAAAGAATCCTCTCTTTCCTCTCCATTTTTAATGCGTTCAAAAATTTAACAATTTTGGATCACAAAATATTAAAATGAGATTAAACATGAGATATTCCTACTTGAAAACCCACGGGCTGACGCAAAGTTTCCTTCAGAGATTTTTAGAGAGCAAAATAGAAAGATAGATAAACGTAAAACTTCGGATTCTGAAGCCTGCGCAACAAAGAACACACGCACACTATGCACTTTTACAACAGGTGCTCGTGAAATCTGGCTCACTCATCTCGTTGCATCCGCGAAGCTTGACGGACGTGATCAGACGTATGTTTGTTTCACTTACAACGGTTTCATTTGCAACCTGCCAATATTATACATCCTATGTATGGTAATATAAAAGTACAAGTAACAATACGTATTTCTCGAAGGCAAAAATTAAAAGTTGAGCGGAATTCCAGCGTCAGGATTGTGCCGCATTACAACGTGAAGTAAATCATATTTATACATTAACCTAAATATATTTGACTAGTAATTCTCGTGAATAAATATTAATTAATACCTCAATAAATTACTGGCAATATTTGTACAAATTTTAGATAAATTACATAATAATTCTAATTCATAAAGCACGTACCATGTATGAAACTTGCGTTTTACAATAGATGAGAATTCAACTGCGAAACATCTATTATGCGTATGCCGCTGAAGTGAGAAGAATATTCAATTTCGCAGACAATCGAGTCGCAAATCTCACTGCAGAAGAAGAGACGTGATGCACACACGGATGTGTGGGAAAACGACTCCTGTTTCGCAGATAGACGACGAAGAACATTCCGAGGATGATAGAGTGCATGGATGAAGTAAATTTAATAGACGGAAAGAGACCAGAAAGTAAAAGAATGCGCATATATAGCTACACAGCTATAAAAACTTTAAATGAACAAAAAAAGTATTCCTACGTAAATGTGTTTAAAATATTCAATAGAGTATTTATAATATAACAGTTAATAACAATTAACAATTTGCAAATTGTTATATAAATACTAAATCGCAGGTAAAACTTGCGAACTATGTATGTGTTAAATTTTTTATTTTATAATATCAGTTAAAAGCTTTAGATAATAACAAAAGCAGCTTTGTAATTAGAAATAATTTATACACGACATTATCACACTGCGAATGTTTCAGCGAATGGAAAAATAATGGTCCCACGAGACATTTAAACGTACTTCCAGCACTTTTGCAAAAAGTTTCGTGTGATGAAACATAAGAAAACTTGTCCATCGTACATGCGGCATGGAGACGACTTATCAGATGAAAGAATCAACAGGAAAATCAAGTTTATATCATGATTTATAATTGTAGATCTAATGAAAAGTTTGCCAGTTCTCAAACATCTTTCCGAGATTACAGTCGTAATAGCGGTTTCATGAAAGATGATATCGCGTACGTGCTTTAACAACTTAATTCAAACATTTAATTAAAAACATTTCTACTGTTCTTTCGAGCTTCCCTCAATTTAGTTACCCTAAATATATGAATGTACGTGTTTTTTTTATTAAAAATGGAGAAGCATAGCAGCTTGGAGATTCATCAGTAGTTTTGTGCAAAATATGCTCCGCGAAACAGAAGCATGCGATAATATTCTCCCATGTCTACGGTGTTGCAAGAGAAAACACAACATTGTTTACGAAATAAATTTGTTTATTGTTTCAAAGTCACGATGTTGCATCCGCGTGCGCCCCATTACCTAAATCTGCTCGCAAATGAAAAACCTGGGATGCATATAAAAAATTATTATGAAAAAAAATATAACCTTTCGTTTATCTGACTTAGAGGCGAATGCTGATGTAGTGCTTTTTCTATAGAGCGTATCACAAAATTGTCGCTGTGGGCGATTTTCCTTATAAAATTAAAAAGTTCGTCGCCGAAGGATTCAGTTCCACTAACAAGGTTAGCAACGTCCATTAAAGTAATCGATCCCCGAGATAAATATTTCAATACTTTCGCAAGGGCGTCCTAAACGAGATCTCGTGTCACGTACAACGAAAGAAAGAAATGGAGGCTACATTTTCTTTTTTGCTTAAAATTCCCATTTAACACTGTAAAAACTTAGGAAATAAAATTCAGAGGAATTTAAAAGTATATACTATCATTTACTTTCACATAAATTGATGAAAAACAATGTCAATCCGTAAACAAGAGACGCCATGTATTCTATCATGTCGAGCAATTAAAAATATACGAGAAAACTGTGAAAAAATAAAAGAGGAAAAAATTTAAATTGTGAAAATATTTAATTGTAAAGCTAAAATACGATTTATCGTCGCTTTCTCACAGAGTTCTAAAAAACATAAGATTTTTATATTTTCTTTTTCATCCTGTTAAACTCGCTTTGAAATCAAAGGACCAATAAATCAGTTCGTTTGTTTCATTCGATCCCTTCTCGTTTCTATTGAGTAAAAAGTCGAATATCGCACAGCACGTTCTCTTGCCACTTATCACAGACGCGGAAAAACGTTTAATGGTTTTAGCGACTTGAGCAAATCCGCGATAGCGCATGTAAGTATTCATATCACGACAAATGCGCGCAATTTTGCGCAAATGAGAAGAAATCATCAAGTTTTCCACCAGACAAACCAAAACGTTATTCACCACGCTTGCAACACCTGCAAACAATGGTGCTATAAAAAAAAGAAAAAGTACCGCATGCTCCTATTCCTTTGTTCTCCCTTGAAAAATGAACGAGAAATAAATTCGTCCAATTAAATTTCCCCTTGTGTGTGCTTCTACAACAAAAAGTCGAACCAAAATTCCCTCGGCCGTCACAAAAGCAGGAAAATTTAATTGCCTAACTGACACTGATCAGAAATTTAGCGTACATACGCGTTTTTGTTACAACAATGGCACGCGAATTTGCACAAATGGGAAATGGATAAACAAACGTCGAGCTTCGGCAAAGTGCATCCATCTCTCTCTCTCTCTTTCTCTCTCACACGTTCTACCTCTCCTTCTCTTTCTCGGCGAGCATAACGCCAGTAGCGTCAATACTACCTAATAGCGTCAAACATTCTCCTTTCTATTATTCACACCCGGCGTGTCCGCCGCCGTCGCCGCCGCACTCGGAGACAGCACTCGCGGACACTCCCGATAGGATCATGCAGAAAGAAACAGAGCGACCACCGGCCATATCCTCGCCGGCTGCACACTGCATAGAGCACGCGAAACCTAGCTCCTTTCCCGAATACACCTGCAAAAAAAGAAACAAAGAATTAAAAAAGAAGAACGCATACCCTTCTCATCTGGAGGGTACTGCCAACTCGCCCGAAACATTCTATGCGCAGTGAAAAGCGTGAAGAATATATTCTAATTAGACGAACTTAATTAAGAGTCTCAGATTTTTATTACACTTCAATTATTATTCAATATATATAGTATATTAATTCTTTATGATTACCTTATCCATATTATATACATTATACGTAACTATACATATG